TAGGGGCTCTTAGGTGACCACTTGGTGCTGCCCCAAGAGAAGTTTCTCAGGCTGCCCAGGCAAGGCTGGCCATCCTTGCCAAACAAGGCTAGCACGACAAGTGACCCTGATACCATGCAGCCAGGATGCAGGAGGTGAGTGGGCAGCAGTCCAGAGCAGGGCAGAGTCTCTGACGCCCCACTTGGCCCTTTCCCGCTGGTGTCCCAGGAGCAGGGGAGCCTTCACCACAGGCCCTAGTGCTGAACACCAAGACCTCCATGGGAACACTTCTTACATTCAGCTGTGGGGTCGGGGGTGGTGCCAGAGGACAGTCAGCTGCAGAATCCTGTTTATGTCAAAGAGTAGTCTGAGTCTATAAAGCTGAGGAAACGCTTACCTCCTCCCAGTTGGAGCCAAGAAGCTCCGCCAAACCCACTCCGGCCTCCTTTGCCCCACTCCCTGGTGAAGTAAAGGGAGCCTCTTGTGTATGCTTCCTTCTCCATCAGTGTAAAACTTCTGTGTGACACTTCCCGCCCCCCATGAGACTCCCAGACCCTTGGCAACAGAGCTCAGAGGAAGCCTCAGGAGCTCCCCGCTCACATGAGAGGGATGGGGCCCCACCCTGCCCACCATGGGCACGAGTCGGGGAAGGCAGAGCCGGGAGAGACACCCTTGGCGGCTGCCCAGATCCTGGATGACAGAACGACCTGCAGACCATCCCCGGACTGCCCTGTCTCTCACCACCAATGCCCAGGGAGCGGTGGGTGCAGGATTCTCACCCACACCAGCCCCTCGGTGAGGCATGAGGTAGGATCGTGTCTCTCCCCACAACGCTTCCGGCTCTGGCCACAGATGCTGCCTGGGATCCAAACAGGTCTTTTTCCGGGCCTCAGTCTGCCAATAGTTAATGCAATTTTTTTCCTGATTGACAACAAGCACAACACCAAAACAGTCAACTATTTTTATCTCCGGATTAATCACAAAAAAGGCTAACGCTTCCACCTTCCTTGTGATTAAAAATTAGGAGACCGAACTCTATAGTGGTTCAGGATAATAACCAATCCTGGGAGGGGGATGCATGAATAATGCATCTCCAGGCTCCAGGCTGCTCCACAACTCCCTCCCCTCCTGCTGCCCTGCTCAGGGCCCAGTCTGAATGGAGAGGTAATGAGTTGCACCCCCTCTTCCCATCTGAGCTACAGCTGTCAGGAGCGACTGTTGATTTCTATTCAGCCGATGGCCCCCAACATCCTCCC